AAAAAAAAAAAAAAGAAATAGTCATCAAAAGTCTCCCAACCAAAAAAAGCCACCCTAGACCAGATGGTTACAGAGCAGAATTCTACAAGATTTTTAAAGAAAAACTAATACCAATACTCTTTAAATTATTTCACACAATAGAAAGTGAAGGAACATTGCCGAACTGTTTTTACGAGGCTAAAATTACCCTGATACCCAAACCAGACAAAGGAATTACTTAGAAAGAGAATTACAGACCAATCTCATTCATGAACATTGATGCAAAAATACTCAATAAAATACTGGCAAACCAAATCCAAGAACACATCAGAAAAACCATCCATCATAAACAAATAGGCTTCATCCCAGAGATGCAGGGATGGTTCAACACATGCAAATCTGAAAATCTATCAATGTAATTCACCATATAAAAAACTAAAAAAAAAATATGATCATCTCACTAGATGCTGAAAAAGCCTTTGACAAAAATACAACATCCCTTCATGATAAAGGTTTTAGAGATACCAGGGATACAAGGAACATACCTAAACATAATAAAGGCAATATACAGCAAGCCAACAGCCAACATCAAACTAAATGGAGAGAAACTCAAAGCGATCCCACTGAAATAAGAAACAAGAAAAGATAGACCATTCTCTCCATATCTATTCAATACAGTACTTGAAATTCTAGCTAGAGCAATAAGACAACAAAAGGAGATCAAGGGAATGTAAATAAGAAAAGAAGTCAAATTCTCACTATTTGCTGGTGGTACTATAGTTTACATAAGTGAATCCAAAAATTTTACCAAGGAACTTCTACAACTCACCTTCAGTAATGTAGCAGGACACAAGATAAACTAAAAAAAAAAATCAGTAGCCCTCCTGTACACAGATGATAAATGGGCTGAGAAAGAAATCAGATAACATGACCCTTCATAATAGCCACAAATAACAAAAAATATCTTGGAGTAACTCTAAGCAAACAAGTGGAAGGTGCTTAAGGAAATGCTCAACATCCTTAGCCATCAGAGAAATGCAAATCAAAACAAATCTGAGATTCCATCTTACACCTGTAAGAATGGCCAAGATCAAGAACACCGATGACAGCTTATGCTGGAGAGGATGTGGGGTAAAGGTAACACTCCTGCATTGCTGGTGGGAGTGCAAGATGGTATAGCTGCTTTGGAAATGAGTATGGCAATTTCTCAGATAATTAGGAAGCAATCTACCTCAAGACCCAGATCTGCCACTTCTGAGTATCCACCCAAAGGATACTCAGTCATACCACAAGGACATATGCTCAACTATGTTCATAGCAGCATTATTTGTCATCGTCAGAACCTAGAAACAACCTAAATGCCCCTGGACTGAAGAATGGATAAAGATGTGGTACATTTACACAATG